GGATTTTCCGCCGCTGGTGGTTTCTGGTGGCGCCACTGGGCGCTCTGCGCCTCGTCAAGATGGCAGCCGCGCGATTACGCCAAATGCGGTGCCAACAGATAGACCAAATTCTTCAGTATAATAGAAAATCACGTAAAGTGACCAATTGTAGTCTTTTTGGAATATATGGGGGTCTCTTGGGTGAGTCTGTCTGGATATAGGAAAATTGATTCAGAGATAGCTGAGAGTTCTTGTGGTCCAGTATAATTTTGCAGGAATAGGAGTAATAAAAGACTCTTGAACAGGGGGAATATAGAGGGTCCTCTATCTTAATTCTCTCATTTTCAGTTATTCTGCATTCAAACTTTTCCTCTTTCAATTTTATTTCATATAAGGGGCAGAAATCCATTCTGTGGCTTTATATTCAACTATTAACTCCTCAATAGGCATTTAGAGTACGAATATTTATTGAACTGACTGTATATCAGAGAGAACAAACTACAAAGTTGTTTCTAATCACTTTGAGACTGATATTTCGAGATTACTGTCAGATCTTGAAAATATACTTTATTTGGAATATACATATATAATATTAATGCAACAATTGTCAAATGCTCTTTTTCCTCCATTTATTATTTAAAATTTTGACCAAGACAACAATTCCACCTATTTCTAACGCCTGCAAGCTTCACGAAACATTTTCATTATCAATCCTTCGATAAGTTATTAAATATAAATATTTCTTCACACTTTTTCCTAATTTCACCTACCTCCAACCACCACAGGTTCCACAAAACACTTTCGTTATCAACCATCCCTTAAATTACCGAATACGAAAATTTCTTTATACTCTTTTTCCCCCAAATAAAATTATACGTTTAAGATAGAAGAAATTCAGAGTCGTGTATGAAGCATGATCGAAGGTAGTAATCAGGCACATTTGGTCGTTCATGCATCCTAGGAGTGAAGTATATCATGCATTCGTTTCGTATCGCAGACCACTATATGCATCGGTACTATTTATTGATCCGTGATTCGGGCTTTCAAAAAGACCTTTGGACCGTCTTCTCGCGATATTTCCGTAACTCGACAGTCGACGGAACTGTGCCTTGCACGGCCCTGTAATAAGTAGCACAAGTCCGATAACATAGCTCGCGATGAACACTCTAGCGTTGGGGTTCGTATACATTCATCCTAACTATAGAAACACCGTCGCCATTACTGGTAACCCTTTGCGCACCCGAGAATTTTTCATAATCGAACCACCGACGACACAATTCTCTGCTGCCATGAACACTGACTGAACAAGTTAAATTCAAGTGGGTTGAATCACGTACAATTGTAAATTGATTAGAAATTTTTTAAATATGAATTGATGTGGTGAATTGTTTTAAAATGTGTTAAACATGTATGATAATTGAATTTTACTCTAAGGTGTCTGGGAAAAGGTGATAGTTTCTTTAAATTTAAATTACTCGACAAAAGCTACCGATGAATCTTTTATTTACACAAAAATTTCGAGTAACTAATATATGAATGACTTTCATAAAATAAAAATTAGAGTTTAGACATCAAAGTAAAATGTAAAAATTTCGACACATGCACCAAGAAACCGTCTTTCAAATCCCCCGAATCTTCCTACGTCAAAATTTTCCATTTGTCCCCTCAAAAAATTTATAAATATGCTCCCCTTTCTGGATCGTCGTTCTCCTCTTAATCTATCAGAAAGAAATTGCTCATCCCTGATATCGTACAGGTTGACTCGTGTTCCGTCGAATCGCGAGAGCGCCCTTGTAAATTCGACATCGTTCACGAAAAAACGAGTCCTTAGTCCTTTTAGCGAGAGGCCTCTTGTAACGTTGAATGCTTTTGTTGATTTCCCGATGAAGGCTAATTTACCATAGACATACCTGACCCCGTTTCTCTCTAGCCTGCGTGTTGGCAGAGTGCCGTTTTTATTGTGGCCGTATATCCGCAGGATAAAAGCTGCAATAGGCAATTAAATTGAGCATCATCGGTGCCATTGAATTATGCGTCCTGCAAACATTCGTTGCGCATTCGATGCGTTCGAGTTTATCGCGTTCCTAAAGCTCTAGAATATCGCGGAACGCTCTGTTTCCGATACTGGGTGCTCGAACGAAACTTAAGAAGGCCAAGGGACTTGAGTGGGGCTGGCTGCACGATGTTTCAGCGTTCGCGCAAGTAGGTTGTTCTACTTCAAGTTCAAATTCCCTACGTTAAGATCATGAAACCAACGCGACTGGACGATCCCGGGGTCCCTGACGCAGTCTAAGAGGATTTAAGAGAATATTCGAAGTTAAATATTGTTATAGGTAATAGCTGTGATCTTCTTTGTGGTTGAAAAAGTTGTTGAATATTCTAATCGATACTTGGATTTTTATATCTGTTTTTCTTGGAAGAGTTTCACTTTCAAGTACACTTTAAAAAGAAAGCTTTGCTATATTATTATTAATTATGGCTCATGCTATTCTTTCAATTCTTTCGCAGTCTTCTTAGGTGACTGTGATTCCTAGCTTCCTGTAGTAGTGCTTTCCACACTCACCTCGTGGAGAAACACGTTTTCAATGATTCCTGTCTCCAGTCACCATTGAAACATTGTTACACGAAGCTTTGTGAAAGTTTCAGTAAAAAAATTAGAACAATTTTGTTAATTAATTCTAATGTCAACCCTGAAAAAAATAGAGGAAAGAGTGTCGGTAAGAATGATCCAGAAGTGGAGGGTCTTGTGTCCCCAAAAAGGGTAAAATTTCAAGCCTAAAGTTTCTCAATGATACCTAGCTTGTCTACTTTGTAATTAAAATAAGTTAATTGTAGTAAAGTGTTTTTCGTTCTCTCGATATAAAATACTTAAATCGTATAGGGTCAATAGATCGACGTCTACTACTGCTGACCCTATCTTTGTCAGCTCTGGCAGCGATCGCGAGACGTATTGGTCCGTAAAACGGTTCGGGTGGTTTCGTTCTTTCTCGGGTCGTCTGATCATGCGTATACTCATTCTACTGGCGATCAACCTTTCACTAGTCCTGAAGCTGACAAAAGTTATAATTTTATTGAGAATCACTAATTATTATGGATCTTGAGGCACAAATAATCAATGAAAAATATTGGACACCTATTTTTGTAAATAAAATAATTGTCCGAATGGTAAATTGGGAACTGCAGTGATTTTATTTTGAATGCGTAAATTAAAATTCCTCTTTTGCCTTCTCTTAAATAATTCACAATTTTTTTTACTATTACGTCACTACACATCCAGTCACACGCGAAAAAAATTGACAGAGATCCAGAAATATTGAATATGAAAACAGATTTCAAGAAGAAATTACAAGATTGAATAAAAATGTCACCAATATTTATAAAAGAGCAACTCAACGCAACCCGAAACGAGCGATTTAGCCAGCTGCACATGCTAGGTCGTTTCTCAAACTTGACGACTCAGCTGTAACATTCATCAACCCTCCAAGGTTCCTTCTTCAAGATCAATCTCTCGCCTGAGATGAAGCTTAGAAGACAGAGAAGTCTAGAGAAGGTAGAGAAGAGTAGAGAAGACAAAATTTGTAAAGGATCGCCCTTCAAAATTCTTCAGTCATCACCCAAGGTTTTGCAATCATAAAAGGAACATCACCTTGATTTTTATGAAACTTGGCAGTCAGATGGAGATACATATCGTTGGGAAATATAAAGAATGTTTACAAAAATATAAATAGAAAAGTTTGGGGTAATCATACAAAAAAATCTGATAGGTTTGAAGAGAAAGATTCTTAGTCAAATCTACGGGGAAAATTGTGGAGCTATCTTTTTGTTTTAGGTGGCGATTTCTTATACTGTTAGAGCACATTTCAGCTAAATACTATTTATGATACTCTTCAATCACACTTCTAGAAAGGGTAGTCTATCAAATAACTAACACTATGTATATGGTTTTTTATTACATTTTTTCTCAAGCATCACTAAAGCCTCACTAAGCATTACTAAAATTTAGAGACATCAAAGTAGAAATAAATGAAATTTCCCCCTTCCAGTTTCCACTTCCCCTCTCGCTCACAAATACATGCAATTCCCAAGGAGGGCTGAATATGATCGAAACGTGGAAAAAAGAAGTGTTCAATAAATGCTCCGTACTTTATATACTGTCCCAGTTATTTTTACGATTTCCCTCGCGTAGTGTGAAACACCGACACGTGGTTAACTTATGGCACCTTTACGTTAATGAGTGTGTCATTGGATTGGTCCCATCGCTACCCTTCACTCTTACTTTTCCTTCCTTGCGTAGGGGCGCGGGTTCGGCGTTGGCGCCGCGACGACGACACCGATGCATAAGCGCGTGACCGAGTTCCGGCGGAATATGATCGACCGCGCGAAACTCGGTCAAAGACCACCAACACCCTTCTTCGAAGCTGGCTCCTATATCGCGTGCTCCGTGTAAATTTTTCTTGTCGTGAATATGCGTGAACACGCCGCCACACTCTTTCAACCACGACGAAAGACTCGAGGGCCTGTTCCCTGCTGCCAAAAGACGAATTTCTGCCCTTAACTGCGACCTCGAAGGATGCTGATGTGCGCCATTCACATTTTTACATATAATTTAGAATTCATAAATTTATCTATATATATGAAGCAGTTGAGGTATTATTTAATTTTTTTTTTAATAAGGCAAAGAAAAATAATGTTTATGTGGTTATTCATGTATGTGGAATATTATATGTGAACTTCGTGTGCGATTAATATTGTATGTATTATAAAAAAATATATATAATTAACATTTTCGTACATATGAACTTCATATGCAATTAATATGTATGTACATGAAAATGTTAATCATACATATGAATTTATATAATACGTAGAATAATAAAGAGAATCACAAATAATATTTTCCACTAGCTTCTATTACATAAAAATGAAATAATATAGATTATTAATCTAATAATATCGATTGTAAATTAGTGAAGGTAAATAATTAATTACTTCTCACGTGAATTCTCCTGTTTTTGTTGCAGATAAGTATCGATCGACTCGAAGATCAGACTATGTTATTTCGGATAACGGATTGATCGCACCCGTCGCTTCATTCACACGTGAGTATCTAGGTGTTAATTATTATTAACCTAATCAGCAGTAGATGTATGATGCACGATGTACAAAAAATACATCAATATATATTCCAGATAATGTCAAGGAAGACAAATACTTTATTGTAATCCATGAATTCGTGATTTCCCTTGGATCTCAACAGAGTATTCGTACTTTTTGAAGAATTAACAGGTTCGAAGAGCACTCGAACGCGGTGACCATTTTTTGAATGATAGACTTAGGAAGGAAGAATCTGTTGTCGACCCAGATAGCTCGATTTCTGGAACAATTGCTAGCAAACGAGAGGCCCCGGGTTTAAATCACGATTTAGCAAATCCGATCGACCGATTCTTTCTTCTTTTGTGCTCGTGTGTCCATGGAAGATATGAATCTCCACCTTTTAATCAACACCGAACAATAGAGTACTTATAAATGTCGGCTTCATTCGAAACTTGGGATAGAGCATTAAAGCGTTCTATAGCACTCTCTCGGCGTCACATTTTCCTTCATGGTATACTTTTAATACTGCTATAATGACTCTCAGCATTTAATTTAAATTCGGTCATAGCAAAGGTCACAGCTATAGTTGGAAGTGGTTCGAGAAATGGAAATCATTTTACAGAAAGACCACTTTACGAGGAATATTAAATAAAACTTTGGGTGGATTAAATTGAAAATCGAGATAAAATTCTGGCAGAAGATTTGCGAGGTCCAGAAACCTATTCCTTCTGTAAAATAATAAATAAAAAGATTAGTTGCCTATTGAAGCATTCCTCGAGAAATAGAAATAAATAAGCTACGAAGATATACTTGGAAATGGTTCAAGAAATAAAAATAATTTTGCAGAAAGCTCCCCTTACACGATAGTAAATAATTAAATGGAAAATCGAGATTAAAGTCTGACAAAAAACTTAACAGATCAAACGCATCGTTTCTTTGAATATTAAATAGAAAGATTGACTATCTTCAAAACCATTCCCCAATCAATATGCTACCAAGACTTTCCAGAAGCCTTGCAGAGATTGAACGAAGGGTTAAACGCTGACAAGTCGACCCCTCGAGAAGTTCCATGCTCTCCAGGGGCCTCACGTCTCGGCTTATGTATGCATGTGTAATGAGTGGAAGGAATAGCTCCGCGCTAAAGATCCACACAAGTGTTATGCAAAGCGATACTCTCGAGGGTGCAACCTGCCAAACGTATTTTTCAGCACAAATGGCCGCACGAGCCCGTAGAACGCCTAACTAAAGGAGTGTGTACAGACCCTTAATGGGCTAAAGCGGGCGCCAAATATTTTGGCCCCTCGAGGCCATTCGGTAAATCTCATTATACCAACTAGCTACTCTGCCACGTCTCTTGTCTCCTCTCCCAAGCGTTCGTTACGCCCCATTGTTTGCTTTACAGCCAATAAGGAAGAGAAACCAAAGACACAGTGACCAATGACGTAACTAAGGCTCTCGAAGGACTGTTATGTATCGATATTAGGTCAGGTTTATATGTCTCACATCCCTTGTTTTCTATTTTACATGAGTTGGTACGTGAGTGGAGGTTTACTTGTGATTTAGATATCAGAAATATTTTGCATATTATTATATTAATTAGCAGAACATGTTCTACATGTATTATGTTTATTTGGTATGATTTTTACGTTGATATATTAGCCATAAATGTTTAAAATCCGTAGCCTATTAATAAAATATCGTTTTAGAAGTTTTGCTGATAATTTTCCTTCGGAAAATTAAAGAAACCTCAGCTACTAATAGCTTTGCATCCTCGTTCATTTTTCTTCAAATTTCTTACCAACTCTTTTGAACACTTTCTCCCCTAATTTCATTTCTTTAACACACATTTTATTGTAGAACTATTGTAGAAATATTTTACTCTACCTCGTTAATAATATTTAATATAATTTAATTTCATTTAATTTAGTTTCCTCTTCGTTTAAATGGATTCCACCATAAATAGTACCGCGTGGGTCGTGAAACCGTTGGTTACGTCACTGACAGTGCTCTTATCTAAGCTCAAACGCGACTGGGTGGAGGGTTGAGGATCCGTAACGATACCGTGAAGAAGGGTAGTTTGCAGCATCGCTCACACACGAAGTGGCCTTGAGGAGTGAAAATATTTGGCGCCCACTTTAGTATCCAAAAAGCATACAGAATCGTTCCTGGGTTCTTGACTCGCGACACTCGAGCTCGCTACAGCCTTTACCCCCCGCTGGTTTTACGACCTCATTAAACAGGGCGTTTCGAAAAAACGCGATTACAAACTTCTCGTAACTCATAGTGCTCATCCCCACCAAGTAAAAACTGAATACTCAGCGTTGAAAGGATTACATTCATAATCTTCCTATCTTATTCTAGACTGTTATAATTACATTTACACCTGTTTCATCTTTCATTCATCTCAGTAAATAATCAATTCTTGATTTACTTTCTTTTCGGCACGTTCAACTATCGTCTAAATATCTAAGTGCTCGATTCTTGTTAAATTTCTTATTGTGATTTCTTATTACAAATTTTAATGTTTGTTATTAGTTACTCAGTGCAGTTTAAAAGTCTACGCTCTTATGAAGATACCAGTATAAATTGAACCGACATAACCGAACCCTACGCCATTATTTTTCTCGTACAAATTATAATAGCATTCATTCATATTAATTCATAAACAAAGTAACTTAAAATAAAAAGCTTTCGAATATTCTCTTGTCCAGAAATATGACCAAAGCGTCAGACTCATACAGTAACGTCTAAAAAAGAAATACACTGTACCTTTCACCAAGCAAACAACCATCCACCTACCACAGATACTAAAACCTCAAGGTTCTAACGAAACTAACAGACCCCAAGACCTCAAGGTTCCAATCAAATTAATGGACCCCAAGATTTAATGATTCCAATAAAGCAAATACCACAATCACCAAGATCTCCAAATTCCAATAAAACTAACAAACTCCAAGATTCCAACAAAAGACACCTAGGTCCCCAGATTGCTTCTAAAACTAATGTTTGTAACGGGTGTGCAGGTCGGACATGAAAAATCTTGGTTCGCGTTGGACGGTCCCCGACATAGCACGCACTGCCGCAGCGCGTTCGTCATTTCTCGTCGCCATTTCGTCGGAACGAGATTCAGGTAGCAGCAGCAGCAGCAGCAGCATTAGCATCAAAAACAGGAGAAGCAACGTTAGAGGTAGCGGGAGCATCGGTATCGCGAGTATCGGCGGTGGCCACTGTGTGAACGAGCGCGTCACGGCGATCGACAAGAAGAGGGAAAGGAATAGCTACGGCAGATCGGCAGTCGACGTGCTGCACGAAGCGCATTTATCCGTCCGATCGTGCGTAACGGCGTCGTCAAATCGCATCGACGGCACGACGCGTCCCGAATCGACGCCTAGGCGCCGGCACCTAGCCGGGAAATCGCGCGGTTTCCAGCATCGGTCTCGTCCTCGTCAGCCGCAGCCGCAGCCACCGCAGCAGCCACTCTATTACCCCCCCGCATCGTGGGACTCGCGCACATTACACTTCAGAAACTGTTAGCACCGATCAAAAGTGAGTATCCTTTGCGAAAAAACAGCCTTATTTAAATTATTCCAGGCTTTAGACTAGTCTGGAGGTCTTGAGGGATGGAACGAAGGATACCCGTCTATATGAGCGACTTTTTCACTCGCGAATAAGATTGAGAGCTGTTTTTGCTATTCTAGGTGGATTTTGGAGTGGAAAGTAGGTTTTCTGGAGTAACTGGGAGCTGTTCCTGCTACCATGGGTGGTTTTGGAGCGAGAAGTAGTTTTCTGGGGTAATTGAAGTGTGAGGATTGGTGGAGCTTTAAAATTGTTCAATAAAGGACTCTTCTTAAAGAAGATTCGTTTTTTGGGGGGCTAAAGAAACGGTTGAGGATTCGAGGGCCTAGTCTGGGGGGTCGAAAGGAGGATACCCGTCTATAAGGACTTTTTCACCCGTGAATAAGATTAGAAGCTGTTCTTGCCACTCTGGATTCGTTTTTTTAAATAAATGAGTGGTAAGGATTAGTGAAACAGTTTGGTGAATCTCTAAAATGATCTAATTAAAGTCTTCTTCACGCCAGAAATACGAAGCAAGTGAATCTGCTTATTTTTATAATCACTCGATTATTGGCAATGCTTTTGCTAGATGTGTACTGTCCTTAGCATCACCAGCAGACAAAGTTTCCATTTTCTAAGATTGATACCTGTTCTCATAGTTACCTTGCACAGCTGCGCCTTCATTACCATATAACGTCCATAATATGTAGTTGCACTCCCATCTTCATTATATTTACTCAGAAATGAATTTCATACCCCAGAGGCAAACCATATTAACTACGCATTTAGGGCACTGAACACTTTGAATAGCAGTGAAAAATATACCATTAGCTTCTATTCGCTTCAGCCAATGTACTACAATTTCCAAAATGTAAAATGAGCATACTTTACCTCTTTTCTGTAATTTTTTAATTCTCTCCCTTGTATTGAAATCCGCTAATAATGTTTCAAGAACTTTCAAGTATACTGCAACCCCTTCATCCAGGAACTTCGTGGCCATGTATAAGGGGTGTTTCTTAAATAGCTCGTCAAGGTGTGCAATTTGAAATATGGCTCGTTAAAAAAAAAAACGCGTTTCCACTTCTGGTTCTCCCCTCGACGCCACTCGAACGTTTCGAGTGGCTCGATTAATAATCTTGAATTTCTTCGAGCTGCATTAAAAGAACAATTAGGGGTTGTTTCTGGTCGCCTATGGCAGGGTAAAAAGAATGAAGGAAAATAATAGATGGTACCATACATTTAGGGGCGTATTTATATCGGATTATTGACGTCTGTAGTCGCTTATATTTTATTCAACGATGATGGAAATCGTAGCTATTACTGGAGCCAATTCTTTTGCTAACAATTTTTGGTATTTGCTTATCGATTGGGGCTCTTTTTATTGGATCCTTTTAGACAGAAATAGAGAGCTGTTTAAGGGACAACGTGGCCATTGGGACACGATTTTGAAGGCAGGACATTGAATCAGCTTGAAAGTTGACTGTTCGATAAACCTCATGCATACTTAATGAGGTTTCTACCTTCGCTACCCTAGTTCCCCAGGAACTAGACGTTGGCGTGTCTATTTACAGGCTATGTTGCTTCTATAAAGTAAACTTTAGGCGTATGAATTAGTGAAAAGGGAGAATTTCTCTCAAATTTCCTGTACTGTTAATTTTTCTTTTTATTGAACTCTTGAAATTGAAATTGCTTTGATTTCTGTGTATTCAATATTATTGAATGATTACAATTACAATTAAATAGAATTAATGTATTTAAAATTCGTCCGCTCAAGGGGTTAAAACTACTTAAAACAGTTCTGGTTCAATTGAAAACAACCTTTTTCTAAAACGTGAGTTGAATTTAACAGGAATAAAGACAAAAAATATACGTATAGAATATCTAATGAATTCAATTTTATCTTTGTTTGCGAATGAAGGAAAAAAGTATCATAAATGAAAGTTAGCTGTTAAATCGAGTTTTAGAATTCGATGCTTCAAAAAAAACAGCATTGTAAGATACCGGGGAACGGAAACGAACAATGATATAGTTTGAAGGCACTTTTTCTGCACAATACGCCCCAATCGGGTCTCATGGATCAATTTTATAAAGTTTCCCGTGTCGCACAATTCACCTTCGATTGCTCTTTTTCGAAACTAACCAGAGAGACTCCTCTCCTGAATTTCTATCCTTCGAACTTGGCCAGATTACCTAGAGAACAAAGTTTGATGGTTTTACGGACTTAAAGTATGTACTTTAGCTGGTGACGCTTTTGGTCTTAGAAAAGTGGCTGTGTTGTGTGTCGAAGTCTAATTTTCTATTAGATGGAACTGGGAATTTAAAAGTGGAAGATACTGAAGTTTTAAGAAAGTAATTGTTGTATTTGATTCATGACAAATTTTATTCAGCGTAGAAACGAATTCTGTGCCTTTATGTTCCCACATTTGTAACTCTAGTTTGAATAAGAATGTTAGGTATCATTTTGTTTTTATATGTGCTCCCTTGGACTGTGTGACTGAGAAAGGAGTGAAATTTGCATGACTATTCTTTGCAAGTAAATAATAAATTTACTTTAGAAGGGCACAGAATTGATTTCAACAGCTAATATGTACAAAATTTTGTAATATTGAGAAACGGTGCTTTTGTTGTGTAGGAAGGTGGCTCAGCTGTGTGCAGCTTAGACAATGTCCGAAGATTCTGACTCTGTATCAGAGGAAGAAAGAAGTTTGTTCCGTCCGTTCACGCGGGAGTCCCTGGCAGCGATCGAGGCTCGCATTGCCGAAGAACATGCCAAGCAGAAGGAGCTCGAGAAGAAGAGAGCGGAAGGCGAGGTAGGAATGCGGGCGTATTTCCTTTCGAACCTACATTTACGATCTTAGCCAGCCCCACGATTCTCCAGAATCGCTGGTGGCCCGCTGCTACATAGGATATCGATTTTATTTCTTATTAACAAAAGATATTTCAGTTTTGTTCTTTTTTCGTTTCGTACTCGTTTAATCGACGAAACGGTTCTGCGCCTAACTATCTTTGCTTGGAAAACCACTTTCATTTTGAGAGAAAAATAAGAAAATTCCTAGTTCTTCTCTGGATACTTGTTTATTTTAATTATAATTCTTGAGACCAATCATTGTCTTCTTTCACTTTGGGAGAATAAAAAGAAAATTCCTAGTTGAAGACATCAAGGGAAAAGAAACGTCTTTTGAATACTTATATATTTTATTTTTGTAGCCTCGAGTAAGGAATGCCTCAACTAAGGAAATTTTCTATTTTAACACGTTCACTTCTAAAGTAAATCAATGTAAAGACTTCTACCAAGTCAAAATTTTGTCTCGAGATTTCATTTAATTCTTTAATAATTCTAGATTTAATTTCATTATCGGCTGCCCTTTGGAATTAATTTCTTTTTGTCCTCACTGAAAAGTCCTGTCACTCATTTTTGAGTTAGGTCTCTGGTAAAATTAAATAGAGAAGATAAGGAGTTCCTAATCTCGAAAAAGAAGTTTCCTACTCTCAAAGGCAAGCCTCTACTTATTTTTGAGTACACCAAATAACAAAGTGCAAAGTTTTCGCACTCCCGAAAAAGTCTGTGCCTTAAACACACCAACAAATCAACGAATACGATTTCTATTTATTTTCTTTTTCCCCAGGGCACACCAACCGATTTCGTCGATTACTCGCAACACTCGTTTTAGCATCCACTCAACCTCCCATACAACCATGTGTCCTTTTACGTATATCCACGTACGTACATTACCAACAATAACGCGACCATTCACACTGTAACATGAATGATAACAAAAAAAAAGAAAGTATTTCTTCGATCCGTTCGAGTATCTTTTTCCCCCGACGAATCGATCTATCGTACGTGTGTTTTCGTACGCGTTTTTTCAGTCCATGAGAAGTTCCAAGATGGGCAACGACGATTGTTCTATACGTAACGTGCTTGCACATTAGCATCGATGTACAGGTTGTGTTCTACTTTGCAGATATCTATATATTAGCGAGTCTTCGAACGTACAAGCATCGCTATTAAAGTGCGTTTACAAGTGTTTTCACTGATTGTAACGCATACTTCACCACAGATCAATGCTTCCACTCTTCGAACGTATATTTGCATAAATATTTAACATTTAATGTAGCCTACGATATTAGATTAATAAAATTGTGGGACTGATTGATCAAGTGTCAAGTATGTATATATATTTTTTCACGGTGTTGTCCGTGACGCTCGATGGACGTTTACTATATATATATATATATATCTATATAATTATCTTTTTGTATACCCCGTAATCGTATACGTTTTTTTTTTACTAATTTTGCGTAGCTGCAGTGGCGTTTTTTTTTGTGAGATCTGTTACTTCATGTTCACATATCATACGAATTATTCAAAGCTGCGGTGTTTTCTACCCGTAACTCTCCCCCTCCCCCTCTTCTTGTAAACAACCGATTGTCGCTACCAGTCGCGTTGATTGTTTGCTTGATTTATTGCTAACGTAGTGTGAAATATACATGTCTGTCCTGTTGACGACTATTGTCTACATCTATGTCTATCTATATATCTATATATATACATCGAAACACCACGAGTGTCGTCGAATAATGTATTGTTTTTGTGTTACCTAAAGATATGTTCGCGTACGAGCTCGATGTCTTCAGTGTCACTATCTGTGCCTGTTTCTGTACGTACATAAATATCGCTGTGTTCGTAGCTCTCTCTCTCCCTCTAGGTTCAACGCTGGTATAGTTGACTTCCTTATATATGTACGTAGTTCTTGTACATAGGTAAACACACTACCAGCCATGTATGTGTTTAGAAGCTAGGCAGTTGTAATTGTTGCAGTTTCATTAGGAACTTCTGATGCTTTATAAAAAAGATAGTTCAGAGACTTCAGGGTCAATGTCAGGATTGAATTTACGCAATCGTAATATTCACAAGGATTTAAAATTACTAAACGAAAAATAATTCTCCTTTTCAATGAATAATACTGTGTTTGAAACAGGAAAAAGGTTTTAATATTTGAAACTTTCAATGATATTTGTATTAACAATTAAATTAAGAAGTTACAGAGATGTGTACTATGCATATAAAAATGAACATTGATCTACGTTTGATTATATAATTTCTTACTTGGATATTTAAAATAATGGTTCCGTTTGGTCTATTTTATTTATTTAACGTCAGAAATTAGAACTTTATCGTAGTCCATATGGTTGGTAGTGGTAATAGTATATCAACATGTGAATTGAAATTTTTAGATTCTCTTTTCGCTTATGTGTTTTCATCTGAATAATCTATGTGATGAATTTTAAACTTTAAAAATACATCATGGCACTTTTCATATTATAAATATTGAGAGTATCGTTATAATAATTTATAAATGGGATGAATACAATTGAAATTCAATGTGAGCTATTTTAACTAACTGTACACGAGGTCTGCAATTGAATTCAAAGGAGTAATACGAGATATATGTATATCTTTTCCAACCATGTCTGACTACGAACGGTACATTTCTACTTCAATTCACCTCCTTTCTTACTTCTACGTTCGTTTGAAAAGTCTTCGAAACAAAATGAATGAAACCTCTTTAAATCCAGATGACAGCATACAAGCGAAGAGGTATTTAACTATTAATTTGTCAGTTTATTGTTAATCGAGTTAGTCAGTGATCGAAATATCTAAGATGTGATGTAATTTGTAGTTTACTCGAGCAGAAGGTGATTCCTCGTATTTACAAAAAGAGTAACTGACATCTTGTTTCTTTGAGTATTCAGTACACACAGCATATCAAGCTCAATATAGCAGACAATCAAGAATATATTGAATAAAAGTGATGAAATAATAGAAACTTATTGTATCTTAAAGAAGATCAGTAACAAATATAACCAATTCAGTTTGCCCCATTTTAATACTCTTAATCTTATTATTAAAAAAAAAAAACTTTCGTAACAAACATTATAAATTTTTCATAGATATCAATTGTCTAAAAATGTTTAAAATCGCTCCCTGCTAGACCAAAAATTCTTTATAATCATACAACGAAGAATCACCCTCGTATATCGACTTAAATCCGAGCAATTCGGATGTTAATTAACTCCCCTCTCGCTGTCTCCGCAGTAGAGAGCCGGTTAGAGTTAGATTAGAGAGGGAAAGAGAGATTCGAGATGGTATCAATTGATAACGCTTCGATATATTCCTCCTATTCTCACACCAGCTTGCCAGAATCCCGCAATCCTCTCGCTTCGATCTATATAATACACTACGTGTCGTATATGCCCAGATATAAACATATATAACGTAATATACATACATAGATAGAACCGTATATATATATATATAGGTATTAACTGTTTCGTATACCCAGTACTATGATGTCTGTCCTCACGCCTCCTGTTTCTCTATCTTTTCTAGCGTCTGTCTCTGTAGCTTTAACTTGAATCGATCCCCCAAACCCCCCCCCCCCTTCAACCCCCTTTCTTTGTACTACATACTGTATTCACCTATTTACTGTTTCCGTGACTGCACCATTAGCGAAACCTTGTCTCTCACATATTTCGCTAAAATTCTATGAGATTTCCCCCCACGAAACCCCCTCTTTTAGCCCAAACCCCCCTATTTTTCTGTGTTGTTTCTGTGTGTAACGACTGTTTCTCCATTTCTCCAATTTCAGGGAGGTTTTGGACGGAAGAAAAAGAAAAAAGAAGTAAGACGTTACGTCACGCTAAGTAATACCACTCTCTCTATCATCCAACTTCTCTACCTTTATCATACGATTTGAAATTACAACACACACCACACGTATACATATATATATATAAATATATATATATATTTTTTTTTTAATACACATTATACTATATATATAGAACACCCTGAGGAATCCGTCACGATTTTCATTTGCATTCGGTCGACCAGTCGGCCTGGACACTTGTCACCCACTGCCCGATCTACATTTACTATACTTTCTACACGAGACACCTAATTCTCACGAGCGCCACGGTGTACATCGATTCCTATCGCTCTACATCAATACCTTGCCCGTGATATCAACTAGCCCGATGATAAACAGCAACAATTCGAGACCATTGCGTCAAAAAATCGCCAATGTCCATCCAAGCATTCATTTCTTTTTTTTTTTCATTGTACACTTTTTTAATTGGAATAAACGTATTCTTTGGGCGATTTATATTTTTGGAGCGTCTTGCTTCTTTGAGACTGCGCGTTAAATTCAATTTGCCTTCAGACGTGTTTGCTTCGTCGGGAAATTATTCCTTTGTTTTGTCTGCGTTGTTGATTAGAAGTTTGGGGATTCGGTTTTTAAGAAAACGAGGAAATTTGGTAAGAGTGTATTTGTCTCGCTGAAAATTTAACAGTTTTATCAATTTTGGGGTTTAAGGGAAAAATTTTTGGTAGCCTCCAATGATGAGATATCTAAACCAAAGTAAAATTATAATTTTCATTTAACAGTATTTCCAGTAAAACGATCGTGAACGCTATAAAAAAAAGGTTAATTTTTTGTTTAATTAAATGATGCCCCAACCCTCTCATCGACAATGTACACGACTGTGTTATACTCATTCGTTTTCCTTTCGCCTAATTCGTCTGGTTAAAGTAATCGCTTTCTCGATCAATGCGTTGTTGTAAATCGTTCTGTATCCACGCTGATTCCATTCATGTGTACATAATGATTTATCGAGGATACATCGTGGTCACACACGTGTAAGTTGGTCACACAAACGCACACACACATGATCACGTACATAGCCAAATGATAACAAACGCGCTTGTTGTGCTCGGCTGTGCGCGTACACGCTCTGTCGCAAGTGTCTTGACGTCTTACGACAAAAATTAATACTAAACCTGGCTGTGCGCTTTGAAAAATAAAAAGAAAGATTATCGTGTCGAATTCACGTGCACGTAACTCGTGCATCGCGCTGTATAAAATGCTTTTGCGCACTGGGTCAGGTAAATATCACCATCACGATGAGATTTTAGTAATGGTCGTGGACACGCCAATGTACTGCACGGAGCTCTAAAGATTGCCACTAGCACATTCGATGCTACAAATGCTATTTACGTATTAATAAAGACTAAATTACGTAATTGTTTAATAATGTATTATATATAGTATTGTATGTATACTATAACATATATTATGTAATGAATTTTATCTATATATTATAGTATATATAATATTGGTATGGATATATAAGGTGTACAATATATTACATGATTCCATCAACTATTTGTAAAGTGAATTTATTTCAAATTACTTTTAGATACACTGGCAATCTTTTCAGCTCCTCACTGTACACACGTGCCCCACCAGAAATAAGCTTCCGCCTGACTGTCCTAGCGCGCAGCACTCGACAAAAGAATTTTTGGACGTACCGTATCGGCTCGAATAATTCATTCACTAGCTTGTTATAAAATTCACCCAATCAATAGATGCACCAAGGATAAACGTGATCACTGTTGCTGATATCGAATACGAATAGTATAATGTGAATTTATTTATTCAGTAGCTTTCGTGCGGTCCGATAACCAAAGAATTCTATATCGAAGTAACCTACGAACTTGTACATTCTTGTTACATAATTTGTAGGGTAAATTGGCCTTGATCGAAAATATATAAGGGAAACGTGCATCTTCTCAGTCTAACACACGCGTTAATTCTTGATTTACTTTCGAAATTGCAGAGTGAGTAGGAACAAATTTCAGGGGAAAGTTATGATGTAGTAATTATGAAAAAGTAATTTAATATCAATATCTTGAGGAATGAATTTTAAATGGATTTCTTTTTTTGCACTAATTGAATACACACAGAAATATACTGGCTCACTTTAGTATAGTGAATTTTGTAATTCTAGAAAGTATTATCATTGTAAGTAGTGGTCATTTTTATATAAACATAAGAATATAGAAAGAGAATAGAATATCAAGTGTGTAGCTAAACCAGGCGTGTCATTCCACAGTGTTAATTGAAGATGCACCTGATTAAATAAAAATTCCCATTTAGGATATCTCTGAATACACAAATGCCATTTGTATGCATTATTGTTAGTACCACTTAATTTCTATGCATTAATAGAATTCTGAACTCATGTATATTTTTATCACGTTCTTATCCTTCACTGTATTTTGTAACTTTCCTCTGCAATAAACATCGAAAATGAAAATTCTCTGATCTAAGAAACTAGACAAAGTAATGTGAAAAAGAGTATGCACGTTAATAAATCATAATAAATTCACTTGAAGCATTGATGTCCTGCAATTTCTTAAGTAACGAAACATCATTGCAAAGTAATCCCACGTTTGACCTGCATATTACACGTAACAATTGCGGAAACGATGAAATTCAGGCGTAGTAATCCACCTCTGACCTGTATATTCGACGGAAAAAAGGCTCGATCGCGGCGTTAACAACGGAACAAAATTAAACAGTCACCGTCGGCGTCGTGAACAATACGCGAAACGTGGAAAACAACTGTACGTCCGTTTTCTTTTTCCTCGAGTGGTGCACGTCTCGCGTAGAGCTCGCAGCCGCCTGGAAACGCTTCTATAGATCGTATGCCGTATCCGCAATGCTTGGAATTCTATATGCATACCTTTTTTTTCTCTCCGCCCTTTTTTCCCATCTTCTATTCATTAATTGCGCGCCTCGGCAGCAGCATAAGCGCGCAAGGCGAATTACACATGATCGCAGTGGCGTAGCCTCTCCTGGGATCGTATTGATCTATCGTCCGCACGTCGCAATACAGTTTTCAGCGGGACAAGTCTCGCGTCAAAGGACATCGATCGCGTGGAATATTTCATTTCCATGCTTCTTGCGACCCTTCGTCGCGTAATCAGTCGATATGTTGACGCAAATGGGCTTGAAATTAACAGGATTGGATCACGAAGTTAATCTGCGAAGGAAAAAGAAGATATATGTTAGTTGGGGGAATTAAATTCGAGGTGGAAAACGTTATCAATGTTCTCTGAATTCGAGTTCTTGGGTGATTTAGGCAGTATTTGAGGCTAGATCGCAGGGAGATACGGAAATCCTGTCTAAGAGACGCAGGGGCTTGAATTCCAGGTGTGTTGGTTAAAGAGGGAGGTGGCGGAAATTTAACTGTCTCACATTTTGATCTTGAAAAGTCTTGGACTGTCAAGTAGGGAATTTTTGCGCCTCTTAGACAGGATGTACTTAGTATACAGGAACAAAATTCCACGAGAAGTTGATTTGAAGTGCTTAAACTGAACATCATCCACCATTTTCACTAATAGTATCTTCACAAAATATACTACATGTGCAAGTGAAACGTGTTTAAAGTCGATATAGATACATTGAAACTAACACGGATATTAATCAATACTTTACCAAACTCTGCATTCTCATCTTGACTTCCTACAAAGATAAACTGTACATTACTGCAGTAGAAAGATGTCTGTAATTCAAGAGGAAGGTCGAATAGAGCATATGTTCTCATGAACTTATTTATTGTAACTAGGAAAGAAGGTCGAATAGAGCACATGTTTTTATGAACTTCTTTCTTGTTTTTAACTTGGGAAGAAGATCTATTACACCATATACATTTACGTAAACTTTGTATCCCTAATCCACCACTGAAGATCCTCCGTGTTAAGATACATGATTTATTAGTCACTGTATCGTCTAATATCATCTGTATCACATTTCATGGGCAAAAATGGTGGGCAATTTTGAGTGGGAGTCCCTGGAGCATTCATAGAAGCGAGAAGCACACTTTCGACGTTCCCCCTCGCGATAAATTTCTAGCTGGTTCCTTTGAGGTTACCCGCAACCCCTTCAATTCAACTTCTTTGGCAAACGAACGAAGTGATCGACGATGAAACGTGTCTTGCTGCACCGTGTGTTCTCTGCTCTGGCCGCAAAGTTCAGCCTGAATTATTCATCGACAGACACTTCTCGCTTGTGTAAATTAGATTTAGGTAGAACGTTACTCATACGAGAGCCTTGGTATAGATGGTTATTAGGAGTAGGAGGTTCGTGTATGTGCATCTAGTTAGGACGAATTTTTTTTTTTCATTAGAAACGCTTCTATAGATAGTTGGTAGTTGAGCTTGCGAGTATGGCGGTGGAAGACAAATTCGAAAGTCCTAATCGAGATTCTGTTATGATTCGATCATCTTTAGAAATGGGAACATTTTATGGAATAGAATTTTTGACAGAAACGTGAAAGTTCATGAGTATTTAATCACAACGGGCTTTTCTATTTTGGTCCAAAAATAGTTTTAAGGGTGGAAATACCCCTTCGAAATAATTCGAAATTGTTAAATTAATTGTAGAATATATGAAACAATATATGATGTATATTTCTTTGTATATTTTCTATATTACTATACTCCGTAAATCAAGAAAATCTGCAGTCTCGTAATAATTGCTAATCGAGTATGTACACTGAAATAGTAAACCTTTGTAGCTAAATTTATGTTCAAAATCGTCCCAGAAAACTTTTGATTCTATAATTCAATTAATTGATCTATAATTCAATGATCACAGTCCTTAGATTTATTCCTGAACTCTAAAGATGATTCCAGCCTGGGAAATAGAATTTTGACGAAGACCAAAGGTGGACGTGGATCTGTCTCAACGCACTGCGATCACTTAGACTAGCGGCGCCTCTAGTGCGACGAAATCGTGATCAGTGGCGCCGTTAATTCGCCCACTCGCCGTGCGCCGAGTCGATCTCGACCCTCACCCCCTCTCAGAAGACTTTGTCTTGCTCGTATAGATAGTCTGAGTAGCCTAGGTACCAACTCCAGCGATCGAAAGTTACTTCGAGTCTCGCTTGTCCGAATCGATTTGTTCGGGAGTCGAATTTCTCGGTTGATCGTCGGCGAATCAGACGAATCATCGTCCATCGTGAGCAGATTTCGCGGGACACGAATGCAACCATCACACTCCGATACATCAATACCTATCATTCGACTATAATTCGGAATAAGCGAAAGGTTTTCCCGTGGTCGCACGTTCTTTTTTTTTTCTTCTTCTTCATGGAAACGATATTATCGCGATATTACGCTCAGCTGGGCACTTGGCCAAGCACGAAGGGTAGCTCATGAGTACCAAAAAAAAAGCAGGTGGGCATACTTCAAATTTCTAATAATGACTTACGGGAGAAATTCGGTGAGAGTGGGAGCGGAAAACGAGGAGATCACGTGGACCTTCACCAGGTTCGTATGTTCACGACCCGCTTTTAGCACCAATTCCGTACTGTACACACACATATAGACCGCCTTCTATACGACTAGCCCGCCATAGCTGCTTTTCAGACTAGACGCGGAAATAGATGTTCCCGATGCTTCCAAAGTAGGAAAGGAAAAAATGTGGGGCAACATTCCACCCTCGATAAAGTGCACCCTACGTGCTCCAACGGGGGCGCCACTGTTTCCGTAACGTCGCTCGCCGAGCATGCTTTTAATGCATACCAATATCGTGCAAACAATCGGTTGTCGATATCTGGCAATTATCCAGAGGACAGGAATGGAATGAAATTTAGAGAATTCGTTTTTATTGGTACTAAGGGTCTAGGGGTTTGAAGAACTTCACAAAGGGCGTCTGAATGTTTATTGAAAATGGAAATTCTTGATTAGGCGGGCTAAATTTCACAGATCGGATCGTCGATCACATACGTCGAATAACGAAATATAAATTAACTTACGCTATTATTTGTACGTAAGACATAAATGAATTTTCTCAATAGAAAGTGAATCATATGAATCTAAAATAAAATTATATAGAAGGCTAGTGGCTAAATACAGAGTTCTCAGTTTAATGATTGCTGAAATAAAATTATGTAGAAAATTAATTCCTGGACGCACAGTCCTCAATTTAATGATGTCTAGTTATGGTAGATGAAATTTCTTAATAGAAAATGCAATAAATACAATACAATAAATCTAAAATAAAATTACATAAAAAATAAATACATAACAGAAAGTGAACAAAATAAATCAAAAACAAAATTATGTAGAAAATCAGTCTGAAATAAAATTACGTAGAAAATTAATTCCTGCCTGCAGAGTTCTCGGAGTTCTCCAGCTGGTTACTGTCAGGGCGAAGATAGGAAACGTGCAAGCGATCAATTGAACCGGAAACAGTGACGCCTCCTCGAGGAGCGAGGATTGGTGATCCTGTTCCCCGTGTGATCTTCATTCAGACATGAGGTGGTGCCTGCCTTGAAGCTCGGGACCGTTGTCTTGCGATGCACAATACCGCGCTAAGACCGATACGACGCATAGAAGCTCATCTAGAAGCGGGTTATGAATGGATAACCGGTGCACACATAGAAGACGATATACAAATGAATATTTCCAAGCGCTGGTCACTCACGCATACATACTCAGAGTTGGGCACTGTGATCACTTTTGCAATAATCCCTCTCTGCTATCGGATTAGTCAATAATCCTCATTTACAATCTACAAATTGAAAGTCGCTAACTTTTCAGAGCAAATAGTGTTTAATTACGCGACAGTTGCTAATGATGACGGGTGGAGCAAGGATTTCATGCATTTATAATGTACAGAGCCATTGGAAACATATGTTGAATGTATGTAGAGGTTATAACTTCATTTAAAGCGAATGAAATTGAATAAAATATACCTTAGATACTTTAATGTTTTTAAGATGGCGACAAACAAGCTTGAATAACGTTTAGACCTTCTTCGGTATATATTATAAAATATTAACATACCGAAGGTAGTTATCGTACGTATCCATACAATTGGAGAAAAATAAAAGAAATTTGAGTAATCTACATAAGTTTTTCAAGTGTTTCCCACCAAAATGCATAAAATCCACCCTCCACCAATTACTCCAAAATGACAACCTGCCCAACCCTGATACCATACATGGTTTCTCTCCCTCTTCGTACGAGTGGATCCCATTGTTTTGAACGACGAAAGCGTGATTTATAACATGTTGGAAATATTTGTTTCACCATTGATCGCTCGATGGATCCTTAGCCAGCGGGGTCACGTGAGCACGTGAACGAGGACGTAGCGCGTGAAATTACCTGTACAGAACATTTTAGCACGTCTGTACGGTAACGATGATTTGATGCAATTCTATCAAACAAAGAGCTCGATCTAAATCGCTGCCACTCGAGAGGGAGGTGAATAATTTAGAAGTACCTTCGTTCGCAGATTCGGTATGACGACGAGGACGAGGACGAGGGTCCTCAGCCGGATCCGATGCTCGAGCAAGGAGCACCGATCCCGGTCCGACTGCACAACGAATTTCCACCCGAGTTGGCCTCCACACCTCTCGAGGATATCGATAGTTTCTATCATAACCAAAGGGTACTGTATTCTTTTTTTCCATTAGAAAAGAAAACAAAAGAATATTCAAAAGGAGAACCCGCATTAAGAAACCAAATATTGAGTGTTTTTTTGGAGAAGAAAGTTTACTTAATTTTTGTTTAATATTTAGAGTATTTTAGGTATGTTTTAAAGTACATTTGGCAATCTCTTGAGTCTCTTGAATTTTATTTTAGAAAAACGACAATAAGCAAGGTTTATTAGTAGAGTAGAGTTAAATTCGTGAAGATTAAGTTGAAGACTTGAACAAATGGTATTCTACTTGAACTAGAGTTATAAATGATTGAATACAAAGCGCAGAATTAATTTATCAATTACTCCCTAAACTTTGTCGTGTGTTTTAGACCTTCGTCGTCATCAGCAAGGGAAAGGACATATTCAGGTTCTCAGCGACAGATGCGATGTGGATCCTCGACCCGTTCAACCCTATACGACGCGTGGCCATTTACATATTGGTTCACCCACTGTTCTCCCTCTTCATTATCACTACAATATTGGTTAACTGCATACTCATGATCATGCCCACTACGCCCACCATCGAGTCTACGGAGTGAGTATCGTTCGGCTTCCTCGCCTCGCCGCGAGAACTCGATTGAACTCTTTGCCTTTATTCTTCTTCGAATTTGTTTGTTTCATTATTTTTTTTAAATCTCTTTGTTACCTTGAAAACTAATGATTCGTGAATGTAAACTGATACTTGAAAATGTACGACTCTGCTGAGGCAATCAGTGAATGTGTGTAATGTGTTCACATTCATTAGTGCAAAGTTCTACTGATCAGGGAAAGATACTCGACCCTCAATTACTATCATTGGGTCAATGGTGACTTAGTACCTAATGTACCTGGTGTACTTAATACCTAGTATGCTTAGTATCTAAGTATACCTAGTATCTAGAGTATTTAGTACCTATCGTACCTAGTACCTAGAGTGTTAAGTACCTAGCGTACCTAGTACTTGGAGTACTTGGTATCTAGCGTACCTAGTACCTAGAGTATCTAGTACCTAGTGTGCTTAGTACCTATCGTACCTAGTGCCTAGTGTGCTTAGTACCTAGCGTACTTAATACCTAGTGTGATTAGTACCTAGTGCAACTAGTACCTGTTGATGCCTTACAAAGAACTATTAATTAACTAAATAAAAATCTATAAATGTCGATTTTTCAAAAATGTGTGATTCCAAAGGGTGATCTGACCCTAATAAGAGTAAACAATCACGAGAAAATGTGAATATATTGATAGCAAACGATTGGAACCACGAAACCACATTCTCAGATTGTTTTAACGAGGCTGTACATCCGCTAGTAACAGTATGCAATCACTATACCATTTGTTTTCACGATAAATATGCAACGTGTACGAGCATCGCTCTCTGCGAAGAGCTGAACCAGAAGTAACGTTTCCCCGCGTTGATTTTTACAGGTGTCCCCACTTTTCTTTTCAATTTCTCTGTTTATTTTAAACTGATTGATCTGGGACAAAAGAACGATACTCGTACGATGAACAAAAAAAAAAAAGAATTCAGAATGAGAATATGATTCTTGGATGGATGGAAGCGAATAAACAAAAAGTATAGGAACAGGTGTTTTACAACAGCGAATTATAATTGATCGAATGTTTTCTATCAACAGAGGTGGATGGAATTCAAATAAAAATTTCAGACAGCAAAGAAAACATGTGCAATCTTTAAATTTGAAATACAGATTAAGCCACAGAAATGCTCGTTAAATAAACATTCAGATTTGGATCAATTAAAAATACATTCCACGTTTGAACAATAAAAATTAATTAAATACGTAACCCTAATTTATCCTAATTTATCCTAATTCTGTCCACCTTTGCCAACGAGATGTGCGATCGGAATATCTCTGAAAATTGAAATTTCGATTAAGACTTGTGTCTTTAAAAAAATACATATATTTAATCGACGAAAATGATGTGGACACATGTCCAACGAATTTCTTTATTCTCTCAGACAATATATATTTTCGCTTGCTCTGCAGTGACTGTGAATCAACGTAGCTTAGCGTGCCTACGAGCCTAAGCCGGAGATGAGTTGCGAGAATATATTTGAATCTAACAGACTTTTCTGTTCAATTAAACGTCTAATTTAAATAGGAAAAGCCATCGAAAGCTTACGGCGAGTACACGTTGTAAAGTATAGATATTTTCAAGCAATGTTCTACGTGTTATAGCTCTAAATATATGAGTAGAGACTGTGATAAATTGTATTCCGTTGGTAAGTTTTGTCCTAGTCTCTCTAGAGGTAGCGTAGACATGAGCGATCTGTGCGAATAATAATAATAATAATAATAATAATAATAATAATAATAATAATGGAAAAAGATTTTTAATAACGTAAAAGAAAAGAAGAATAAATGGAACATGTACTCGGTGTGTTTGCCAACGAGACAATTGTTCGCTCGGGTCGTGCTCGACGTAGCTGACTTGTCTACGACGATCAGTAATAATTTAGACACCGATAGCGATCGGTTACTATCGCTTAGTTTAGCAGAAGCGGCACTACCCACTAGGGAGAACTATCCGAGAAGATATTTTCCATCCTTTGTCTCGAAACGTGGTTTGGTCAATTGGAGCAAGGCTGAGGTTTAAATTAGTAGCGATGGGATCGAGGAACTCATGAGTAGAATTCTATTGGAGTAGATAGAAACTTTTACCAAAGAGACCAAGGATCCTTAACTTTGAATAAACCTTCTTTTTAATGACTATAACAAGATAGCGTCTTTGGGTGTGCCGCTGACGCGACATCAGTGTGATAAAATTGTGTGATAGGCAGTAGTGAATTGTAAACGCGCGCAAAGAAAATCGCATTTAAAGCTGAGTGGTGTGTTTGTTGTTTTCAGAGTGATATTTACGGGCATCTACACATTTGAGTCCGCCGTTAAGGTGATGGCGAGGGGTTTCATTCTGCAGCCTTTTACCTATCTTAGAGATGCATGGAATTGGCTCGACTTCGTAGTTATAGCTTTAGCGTGAGTAGTTAAAAACTTATTCTTTAATAAAGAAAGAGAGAAAAAAAAATGAAAAAGTAACCGGTACAGAAATGACAAAACGACCATTACGGTAGAGTACAGCGTGCGACGAAAGAGAATAAAATCGAGAAGGTGCATACATAGTTTTCTAATATTGCAAAAAGTCATGGAATGGCAAACAATTTTAACCAAAAAAATTCTTGATACCCTCTTAATATAGTTTCCAAAAATAGTAGTCTTTAACAAAGTTTAATCGAAGGTATATCGACGTAGGATGACCCTCTTTAGGTTAACGAAACCATAATTTCACGTAATATGGAAACACGATTGAGATGCATAGATTGTCTCGGTAATAATTGACTCGTGTATAATTGATTGAAGAAGAGATATCATTTAAATCGACGCGTCGTGCGGTGGTAAGATCTGGTGGGTCTCGTGAAAGCGTGAGTTCTATTAATGAAAAATCATTCGAATTTCATTTCCTAACGCTATTTGAAATTGAACTAAAAAAAAAAAAGAGAACCAATTGGGATAACAAGATGCAATTCACGCTTTTCTCTGGAGAATCATCAACGAATCTACCTAGCCTTAGCAATGTTTGGGCACTCGTCGAGTTTCGACGATGTCAATCGTAAATTTGACCAGGCTTGGAACCGATCAGCCTGAGAGACACTTGTTTTCCTGTGTTTCCTTAGTGCCACGTGGTAGATTCGTAATCACGATGATGATCTTAGCCGTAACCGCGTCGACAGGAGAGATTTTGAAACGATCACGTCGACCTCCGTACGACCAGTTGCCGCAGAGAAGCGTTTTCCTCCTCCCACGAGAACGCTAAATTAGTATCAAGTTAGATGTTCAGGTTATGACAGTAGACCTCGCTAGATAACCTTGAGTACGCTATAAACAAACAAAACAAAAAAAATAATAATTTTCCGTAGCAACGAGTTTATTACTTCAGTCTCTTCTCTTCTCATGTTACCACACTTGGTGCCAGTACACACACACACACACACACACACACACACACACACACACACACACA